GAGCGCTGCACTAGTATCGCAGAGGTCAGTGGTTCGAATCCCGTACAGGCCTGAATTTTTTTCAGGTCTGATTTTCACTATTGCTTAAATAGTGCTTTACTGCGAAGGATCGTGCACATATACGTTTCATAACCGCAGTTCATATATATGTATTTCATATGTTTGTTGTTTGATTTATCATCTACGGGTTTATGTCGAATTAATTTGATGGCCTGCTCCCAGTTGGCTTGTTAGCTCAATTGGTAGAGCGCTGCACTAGTATCGCAGAGGTCAGTGGTTCGACTCCCGTACAGGCCTGAATTTTTTTCAGGTCTGATTTTCACTACTGCTTAAATACTGCTTTACTGCGAAGGATCGTGCACATATACGTTTCATAACCGCAGTTCATATATATGTATTTCATATGTTTGTTGTTTGATTTATCATCTACGGGTTTATGTCGAATTAATTTGATGGCCTGCTCCCAGTTGGCTTGTTAGCTCAATTGGTAGAGCGCTGCACTAGTATCGCAGAGGTCAGTGGTTCGACTCCCGTACAGGCCTGAATTTTTTTCAGGTCTGATTTTCACTACTGCTTAAATACTGCTTTACTGCGAAGGATCGTGCACATATACGTTTCATAACCGCAGTTCATATATATGTATTTCATATGTTTGTTGTTAAAATATTATGCTCGTTGATCGTCCAAACTAAAGTAAAAGTCGCTGTCATGTAATGGTGAACATTTCATTTCAGACAATTTAGGCCCAGTTCAAACGTCGAATTTCACATGTACCGAACTTAACTCCCATTTTAGTCGACTAAAATAGTTAAATACGGCATTTGATTCAAACGTCGAATTTAACTCTGTCGAATTTAACTCCGTTCGCTGTCAATGTTCCCAGGCGCATTACTTATTTGCTTGACGAAAACTGCTATGGAGCGTTTGCTTAATTGCTTTATTGACGCTTTTGTTTTGCTGTTTGTTTTTGCTTCGTCGTCTTGGCTTTTCGTCATGAAACTTTGAGTTGATTCAAGTTCCATCATTTCATTGAAACACGACCCACAATATGCCACAGAAATTCTTACTTTCCACTCAGGAGTGCCCTCTTAGTTTTCAAAAACCGAACACCTCATACAAAAGTAATTACCGCACGTCAAACAACTATATTTTGTCTTTGCAAAGCAAGAACTACAGATTCCTTCGTCTCCCGCCATTTTTTTGTGCTGTTGTTCCGATACTAAATATTCGATACCAGGGATACCGAGGTCGGATCGAAAATTATCGATACTAGCCAAGAGTATCATTCTTTCGATACTGCACGTGACCTACCAACGCTTTAATCTCCCGCAACTAACCGCTGATAAGTAGCCGAAGGGCTCGAGATCATGCAAAGTGACGTGCGCATTTGTGTGCAATGTAGGATTGCCGCAAGTGTAGTACAACATTTCACTGTGAAATAGGACCCGATTTTATAAACTGTAAATGTAACGTCACTCCGGCAGTACAAGGGCAACAAAATCGCAACTCACAACAATCTACGCATTACAAGGACAGATCTGGAGTAACAATAATGAGTTGCAAACTACTATGACTGCTTACGAAAGAAAAACCTCGAGCAAGAAAAGCATTAGATAGTTCTAAAGTATGGCACCTCTGCGAGTGGTCCTGTATACCAGGGAATCTCTGATGTATCGAGTATTGAAGCGCAGGATCCAGAATGAGTCGGGCACCCATGTTGAGTAATTATCAGTGGCGCGTGCAGTGACTGATAACCTTTTATCGTACGCCTTATGATCATAAATGCTAGTGAAAGTTGCAGATTGCTTAATATAGGCCGTTTTCACACTAGAGGACGGAAAAATCGTCTGGACGGACAAATCGTCTTAGACGAACAAATCGTGTGATGTGAAAACGGGACGAACAAATTTTTCGACGAACAAATCGTCTGATATTTGGCCGTCTGGAAAGACGATTTTTTGAAGACGATTTGCCGTCGAGACGAACAAGTCGACGACAGTACGACTTAAATTCATATCAGACGGTGAAATGTTCGATTTTCCCGCCGCGAGGAAATGGGACTAGCAACAGAGCGAGGTTTTATGGGAAGTTTCAACATGGCGGCAGCCATTTTGCTTTACAACACGACCTAGTGTCAGTTCTCTTTGCGCTCATAAGACGGACAACTTTTCGGCTTATGGCCTTCTCGAATTCAAATTCGACGAACAAATGCCAGACGATTTGTCCGTCCAGGCGATCTGTCCGTCCTCTAGTGTGAAAACGGCCATAATAGTAAGTAGAAGGATTGTACCACTGCGGTGTTCTTCATTTCCTTGGGAAAATTAAAATGAGTCCCAGTAAATTGAAATTTTTTACTTGTTTGACTGTCTTGTTGATGCTATTATAGAGAACTTAACAGAAAACCATGCGAAAGTGCCTTAATTTAGTCAATCATATCATGTGACTTATTATGTATTTTAATGACGTCACAGTATCGGTATCGATATCGATATCGAAGAAAAAAGTAAATATCGTACTCGGTATCGTATCGATTCGAAAAAGCCGTATCGGCCCATCCTTACTGTTTTGGCTTTTTCGCGCGTGACATTCACAGAATTCCAGGGGAGTTGTGGGTAATACATGAATCATAATAATAGTCCATTTTACAGTTGTGTGCTTGGTTGCCAAGCCTTTGAACGGGAGTGAGGCTAGAGATGACCTTGTTATGATACAAACCTTGCTGCCTTTCAAATGTAAATCACTTTGTTATCATGCTAACTAGATACAGGTCTCTATCACAACAAGGTCATCTTTAGCCTCACTCTGAATCAAAGGCCTGGCAACTAAGTACACAACTGTAAAATGGCCTATTTCCTGTAATTCATGCATTAAGTTCGGCACATGTGAGATGCAACGTTTGAATCAAAAGTCGAACCTAAGTCGAATCTTCGACTGTTTCAGTCGCAGATACGGCGAAAGTCGCATTTAATTTAAAACAGTCGAATTTAATTAATTCAAACGTCGCACTTCACATGCATTTAACTCTCGCATTAAGTTCGGCACGTGAAATTAGACGTTTGAACCGGGCCTGAGTGTGGTCAGAATAAGTTCTGGACATGTCAAATAAGAAGAAATTTGTTTTTGATGCACTAGATAGGAACTAAGCGTCTCACCGGATGATTATCAGTGAAGGACTGTAAAATAATAACTGTGCTAAAGCAGATTGATTGCGCTTTAGTGAGAGGACTTCATTACCGCTTAGTGTTGTTGAAATAAAGACTGAAAGTTCCCTTTGTGCCTGTTACTCTCTTTTCATCAGAAGGAGTGGGGTAGGCGCAGAGTCACCCTCGCTTCGCGGGTTAAATCCAGCTTATTGGCAAATTCAATGAACACGCTTTGCTTATCCCATACAGAGCCGGCTCACCTCTGAATGGCTTGTGTTTCGTTCTTTTTTTTGTGTCTTCCCCTCCCCCCTTCCTCCTGAAGGCCATTAAGTTTGCTTTCTAATGCAACGAAATGCCCCAGCGTCAGTTGAAACTAAAGGCGCGGAAAAGTTAAGGGGTTAACGCCACCATTGTTGTGGAATTTTTCAAGGCTATCTTTAAAATATGGAACAGGGTACGGGGAACGGGGGATGGAGAATCTTTAAAACGAGGAAATGAAACCACCGTTATTCCTCTCTCCCCAAAACAGCACGAGGCCTGAGAAGTTCAGATGGCAATAGCGTCTATCTCGAGCCAGACCACTATCTACTTTACTTACTCATCCATCTATGCTTTATTTCATTAACTGAATGGTTAACAAAGAAGTTACTAAAATCTGCCTTATTTCCATCATGTGGCCTCGAAGCTTGGTTGGTAGTAGCGCTTTAATGGTATCTGAGGTTATTTAAGAATAGCCCATTTCCTAATTACCCATGGCCTCATTTTCAAAACGAGTCCTGGTGCTCATCCTTTCATATGATAATAAGTTTCCATTCACATGCAAATTAAACCCACAATTCCTTCATTCTCTCCGACAAAGGGCTAACGCTCGAAACGTCAGCTTTTGTAACCGTTACGGTGGCCAATTTACCATTTCAACTTTGTTGATATATCCAAATAATTTCGTTACTCCCACCGACGCAGCTCCAAACAGTTTCTTTCGAAACTATCAGCCTTTATTCACAGGAATGGTTGAGCACCAGGCCTCGTTATGAAAAAGGGGCCAAGGGTAATTCGGAAATGGGCTATTAAGAGGCAGGATTTGGATCATAATTCGACCAGGCTTGTTTTCCTGCAGTTTCTCGATTTTTTTTTTCTGTTATTATCCACGTTGCATGATTTATTTCATTTGAATAATTTTTCTGGAAGGCATCATTTCTATTCTGATGATTCTTTGGGCTTGAATTTTCAACAGATTTCCTACTTATCCTTACCACATCATGGTTTAATAAAACCGATTTATTTCTCTTAGTTTTTCTGACCCGGGAAGCAGACTCGTTTTCCTGCCGATGGGACATTAATTCATGACTCAACGTGACACTTGACCTCAGCCGCTCTTTTAAGAAGTTTTCTTTGTGTCTCACTTAAAAAAAAAACGTTTGCCTTATGCGACGTCATTTAGCCCTTCCTCGCGTCCATAATCCATACGGGTAAACATGTTCGCGATAACACTGACCATGATCGATTTTGAGGGCCTCTATCAGAAAGTTCCACTAAACGCTAATGATTCCCATAGGGTTTAGAATTGACAAAGGTTGCGATATCTCAGCCGAATATCGTTAAACTATCTCTCCATTACAGCGAATTAACCACGCATGGCGCACTTTGAATAGCTTAGAATCTGCCAAAGCGTGCATCTCTCGTGAATGACTGCAGAATGTATTGATTCGCCTATCTTCGCGTTAACTTTGATACACACTACCGTTAAAGGAAATGTCCTCTTTGTTGTGAGGCTTGAGAAAAGCGCGCCACCAAGGCTATGAGTGGAAGGTTTTATATTTGTTGAGTTAGACGAGAAAAAAAATTATTTTCGGAAAATACAGCTAGAATATTTTTATTGAACTCAGAAGAGGCCGACGTCAAATTAATTAACTTTTGATACTGTTCCTCTTCTATTTGTGGTCAAAAACGAAATTTTCTACATAGTAGATATGTATACCCCTCTTGTCTTTCAGCTGTCTTAAACATGCGAGTAAAACTCATACCAAAGACTCTGGAACAGATTCGTCCTTCATCAAAGAACTAAATCGCGTTACGAATTGTCTAAGTAGTTTATCGTTACCCATTTCGATGGCCATCTGAAATGGTGTTAAACCATCGAGTGTCTCGGCGAAAGGGTCACAGTTCGCTTTTAACAACAAATCAACACATTTCCTTTTCTTTCCACAAACTGCCGCATGCAGTGGCGTCCAACCATCATCGTCTGAGAGGTTTACCTTTGCACCTTTTTCTAGAAGGTATCTGACACATTCGAGGCTTCCTTCATATGAAGCCCCGTGTAAAGCCGTGGCACCCTCAGCCGGATTAGTCGCGTTCATATCAGCCATGCCTGACTCGATCAACATTTTCACTTCGTCTAAATCGTTTGTAGTCGCGGCGTAATACAGTCGTATGTCTGGATGGAAGCTGACACTACGTGGGCGACTGTATTTTCTTTTGCACGCGTCTTTCTCCTCAGTGGAGTTTTCTCGAATAAAGGTGCGGTTTTCCAGAGGTATTTCCGGCGTAGAAGCTGCTCTTGAAATAACAGAAGTTTTCGGATACAAGGACGATCCTGGTGGGAAAACATTAGCGTCAGTCTCTGAAAGAAGTTGTCTTCTTTTACTCTGCTGTGATATCATATTTTCTGCCATGCCTCTCCGCTGTGTTTTGGCCAATTCCTTTGATCTGATCATAGAGAGAACCTTCTTCAAAATGCTATCGATCGGATTAAAAAACCGTTCGTTCGATCCCTACTTTAGATGTAATCTTGAAAAGTACTTTGACAATAACATTGTCTCGCTCCCGTTAAGGTCGTTGATATTGTGATGTTGAACGATCTGCGTGTGTGAACCTTAAACGAACCGGAAAAAATATTCTTCTGCCCAAGCGTGGAAAACCTCACAGTGCGTCAAAGAGGCTCTTTCAATAACTTTTCTGTTGTCTTTTTACGGTAGGGATCCAAAATGAAAAGGCCAAGGGCTACGTCTAATTGTTTGTAGAACCGCTTTACTAATCTAAGATTGCTGCTAAAATAACAATATTGTTTTGATAATCAACACCAGCCTTACCTCTGAAGGGATAATTTATCCTCCGTAAAGATATGAGTTTACTTATTTCGGAAAACTTATAGAGAAGTCTTTAATACCTTGGCTTATTCTTAATACGGCGACTTGACACCAGCAATTGTTACATGATCTAAAATGTAATTCGGCAGCTTAATTTTGACAAGTTTACCATTACCTTTCAAGAGTAGTCCTTTGTTCTGGCGTGACGAAACGGCGCGGAGTTTTTCTCGTGACCTAGCGAAAAACTTGTAGGATAAAGCCTATCGCAGAAAACCACGGTTCATTTCATTTTTGATATAAAACAAAACAAAACAAAATGAACATAGGCCCTTTCTATGTAGTAAGAGTTTTGCCTTGGCACCCTTGCGATCTTCAGACGGCTTAAGGGATCACTAAGCTCTTAGCGTGATTTTTTTCCTTCTCGAGAGTTTGATCTCTACAAAACGAAGTAATTGACCATTACATCAACACGGATTTCCGGCGATCGTTTAATCCAAGATGTGTCTTGACATGTCTGAACGACAGAAAAAATAATCCAGGCAAAAATAAATTATCCAGAGAGTAACTCTTACATAAAGGCTTCAGGAGTTTTTGAAAACGATCATCAATTCATGTTCCCACTTGGCTCAGCCAATACCCCCCAGGCTGTTGACGTCGTCATGCGATAATTTCCGCTAGCAGCCTTTGCTTGTTCTGCGAGGGGACTGGGACACCTAGATCGCGCTTTTCCGCGCGATTTTAGAGAGCATTAATTTACGCGAAACGTGAACGGCAAGATTGACCACGTGACCTTGTTTTTCCCGTCATTTTATTACGTTTGCCGGTCGCGCTTTGCCGTTTCTGCGTGAAGGTAACCTGTTTCGCGTTTGCCACGTACGTAAAATTTTGTTCAATTTTTCTCTCACAGAGTAGAAGTTAAGTAAGTCATACAAGGGCGCCTCCAAATTCACCATGACGTGCGCTCACGCGAAGCTAAAGCAACAAGGTTCACGCTATCTTACGTGAAACGTGAAAGGACAAGCTGGCGTTTGCCGTTTCGCATAAACGCGGTACTAAATCTCTCTTTTGACACAAAAAGCCACGCCCGCGCAAATATGCTTTCCCTGTCAACGTTCTTCACTAATTGCGCCGCTTGATCAATATAGGAACAATTTAAAGATAAAATTTAATCCTACTTGGATTTCGTATTTAGTTCAAACAATTGCTCCATGTGAATCGAGGACGTTCACCAGTCGGCCTTTCAAAATTGATGGTTTGCACAATTCCTTTATTTTTTTTAAATTTTCCCTATTGCTCTATTTTGTCAGTGAGAGCTCAATATTAGACGTTTTCGTGAACCAACCGTCTAATTCGCTCGTCATAAATGTTTCTTGGTTTCCTTTGTCGGCTTAATTATCCTCTTTTACCTTCTTCTTTGTAAGAATTGGAAGGGCTGTATTCATCGGGCGTCACAGAAGTTTTATGTCTACCTCCAAAGCTGTCGTTTCTCTATACTCCAATTTTGAAGGTCAATGAATCGAAGAGCCTCGTTCTCAAGTTATGCACGGACGCGCAGAAGGTACCATTTCAAATGGAAGTGTGACTGCCTTTTAAAAAGGTTGCGGGACATAGATCGCTATTATTATAACAGGAAAGTAGTTGGAAAAAGAGAGAGAGATTTTACACCGTACCTCACAAAGCATTTTTTCCCACAGCAGACAAGTCGCTAATTAGGGTAATCTGCCCTGCTCGACTGACAAAATTGGGGTCTAAAAGAGTCTATTTAACCAAATGGTCATGTGATCGCTTTACCTTTAAATTTGACTTGACTAACAACAGTGATATTAATCTTGTTGAGGACTAGTATTTGTGTGGTTTCTCCGACTTGATTGTTTTTCGTACACTCGATTTTAACAACGTTGACAACTTAAAACCGTTGATAATGAGCGATGGGCTCTCTGAGCTTTATGGGTACACATGTACGCTTTCCTGAAAGAAAATATCTATCGTTGAAAAACATTTCACTGTGTCAACATCACAGTCTCCGTTAATAATGAAAAAAGTAACTCACTGGTCATGCATACGGACGAGAACTTGCTATGAAGCCGCTATTTCTTGTTGTTCATGGCCCAAGCTCTTTTGAGTGTCAACGTCTTTGTAGCCGAGTTTTTAACCTTGGGTTATAACTGGCATACTTAAATCTGTCAGTCATTTGAATTTAATCAGATTTTTTTTCTTCGCGAAGTCTGCAGTTTGGCGTCTTGAAACTTGCTTAGTAAGGGAGGGGGGAGGGGGGAGGGGTTGGTAATTCGCAGATTATGGTATGTGTACATGTGGCGTTCATGTCAGAATTCCCATGATTTTAATTGCTTGCTTACCTCTTGGTTGGAATTCGCAAGAAGAGGAAAAAATCTCGAACCACGCATGGTTTACTAAGGGAGATAAATTTCGCGTTTCAGACTAGAATCCCAACAATTTATTTAACACCCTGTAATGCAAACCAAAAGACTATAAAATATAAGTCACGAAATACACGAAACAACCTTTTTTTTATTTCGAAAAACCGTCATGATTGGGAATTTAAAATTAAATCGAAACGTAGGATGACTGCGTATGATTAAAATGTTCCGGTTCTTTTGTTTACGAGAATATATCACATCTTACGCAGTTTTTTAACGAGTAGAACATTCCTAAATAAATAGTCGTAACTAGAATAAATAATTTTTGAAAAAAAACGATTTGATTTTTTTTTTTAAAAGTACGTTTTAGTTTTGATTTGTGATCCTGAAAAGCATATCCGGAATTATCTTTCTTATTTTAAAAGAACATGATTGAGGAACTGTTGAATAAGGTCGTTTCTTTGTGAATTTTTTTGTCTTCGCACAGACAGCATCCGGATACGATGTATTTTCATTTTGGTCGTTTAGAAGGTTTTTGTTTATTCAAATATCCAAAAGGGTGTAATTTGCAGATTTCTTTCGTTCATAATAATTAACGCCTCGAAAACCGAACAAAAGAAGAATTAACTGACTTAGTTTGAGGCCATTATTTATTAATGCTGTGAAAAACATGCACGTTATAACGATTTCAGACAACAAGCACAGAAATAATCAGGCTAGAAACAATCTCGTGACTATTGGTTCTTAGGAAGTCCAAACTTATCACTAGTTTCAGACATCTTCCGACATCTCAAGAGCTATTTCGTTGTTTGCCTCTAAAGTTGCATGAAAATTAGCTTTCTGCCCAACAACCTGCTAATCTCTCCCATGAGATGGCGTCATTGTATAGCACACGTCAAAAAACCCTAGCTTTCATTAAGAACTTGCCGAGCTAAACGTCGACAGCGCGAGGACAAGAATCAACGACAGGGCAAAATAGTAAACAAATGTTACCGCCATCTCCACGCGACAGTTTGGAAAATGGGCGCTAAGCCTTTTGGCCAAAAGGCATATGATTCTTGGCACGATTTGCGCGGAACATCATTCTCAGATTAATCAATCGAAGCAACACTGAAAATCAAGACTAAGCTATTCTTCAAATGGCGGCAAAGCCTCAAACGCCTAGTATAAAAATCGATTTCTGGGAGCCAGATGCCGCAAGCACTGACAGTGGAGCTCTTAGAAAGATCTCGGTGGAAAAACCTTGCATGAACAAACTAAAACTCAAATACAAAACCGAACGACTTAGAAGCTACAGCAATGCGCTCAGGGATGCTGTTATGACCAACAATCCCGAGGCGATTCCTAGGATAGTCAAAGAGGAAGGGGTCAAAGTCAATGAGATGAACAAAAATGGCGTTCCATTGATTCACGAGGCGGCATTTGATGGAAAACTGGAATGCGTGAAAGCGTTGTTAGATTGTGGAGCGAAAGTAAACGCGCATGACAGCGAGGACTGGACTGCACTGCATGCAGCCGTCCTGGGTGGCCATGTGGAACTTGTGCGTTTGTTGATCCACAAAGGCGCCGATGTAAACGCTGAAACAGTCGAGAAGTACATTCCCTTTCACATCGCGATAGAGAAAGGTGATGAAGACATGATCGCCATATTGATAGAGGAAATGGCTAAACTGTCGTCGTTTAAGGGAAGCTAAGCAACGAAGAGCGTTAAAAGGAATCACCATATTTGCGAGATTGTATCGACCAATGAAAAAAATCTCTCTTTTTTGAGATTCGTATGATATAGAGTTTAAATTTGCGTAGAATTTCTCTTCAACTATTCTTACCTAGCTCGCTTCCATTACTCTCACTTTCCAAGTATTTCTAACCTTTAAATGGAGTTGTGAGGCACGCAATACTACTGAAAACAGAACGGGGTAGCATGTTGCGCCCCCCTTAAGTTAAGCTTGCAGATAAGTAGGACTGGTACGAAAGGCGCGGTTGTAGAAGAGAAATCCATGCTCACTGGGAACTCGTGTTGTCAGGCTAATTTTTGGAGTAATAAAGGCTGATAGTTTCGAAAGAAACTGTTTGGGGCTGCCTCGGTTGGAGTAACGAAATAATTTGGATATATCAACAAAGTTGAAATGGTAAATTGGCCACCGTAACGATTACAAAAGCTGACGTTTCGAGCGTTAGCCCTTCGTCGGAGCTTA